AGCGAGCTGTCAACGAATAGATTTAGTGTCAACGATCAAAAATTTAAATCTTGATTTAAAAATCGAGATGAATGTCTAAGGGATCGATAAAAATATCGTTGTACTCAGAAAACGAAGCTCTATTCTAAACCCGAAAACGGAGATCTAACAATAAATGAATCCTTTTGGATTGAAAGTGTTTCTTTCACTTTCGACTAGTAATTCTAAAGGCCCACGCACATTAGATCCGGATCGGACACGTTGCGGCAAAGTGACAGCTAAATCTATTGTCTAACTGTCAAATTTACGGCAACTCAACGCAAATGGATCTAATGTGGGTGGCCCTTAAGGCTGTGTTCCATTTGGTGAATTTTCACTTAAATTTGACAGTTCGAAAAAAAATTAAGAAATTCGAAAATCCCTCTTTTGCCGATCTTTCTATTTTGAGAAAGTTGAGGTGTTTGTCAAAATTGAAAATTTTCCATCTGTCAAATTTAAATGAAAATTCACCAAATGGAACACAGCCTAAGGCTGTGAACCATTTGCTGAGTTAAATTTAACTCGTGGTTAAAAGTGACATTTCGAAAGTTATTTTCTATGTTCGAAAATCCCCGTGCTGTCGATCGACCGGTTTTCGAGCCACGATTTTCAAAATTTAACTTCTTGTCTGTCAGAAATAACTACGCTCGAATAGCAGGGTTAATCGATAACATTCCATCTGTCAAATTTTAACCAAAAGTTAAAAATTCGCCAAATGGTTCAGAGTCTAAGGCTGTGAACCATTTGCCGTGTTAAATTTAACTCGTGGTTAAAAGTGACATTTCGAAAGTTATTTTCTATGTTCGAAAATCCCCGTGCAGTTGATCGACCGGTTTTCGAGAAGAACTTAGCCAAGGTTGTCAAAATTTAACTTCTTGTCTGTCAGAAGTAACCACGCTCGGATAGCAGGGTTAATCGATAACTTTTCATCTGTCAAATTTTAACCAAAAGTTAAAATAATCCACCAAATGGTTCAGAGCCTAAAAGTAAAATTTTTCAAAAGAAAAGTTGTTCAACTTTCAAAAATACGTCTTCACAGCATGTTTTCACCACAGGACTGCAACGCCTTTCATCTGCGAACAACTCGAGTGAAGCCAAATTTCTCTGGTGCTCTGGTGCTAATTTGACAGCTCCTCCCTAATAAAAAATTACCATTCACGAACGATAACCCAAATGATTAAACTATTCCACAAATGGTTTGGATGATACCACGAACACGTCGTTAAGCAAATTAACCATAACATTTTTATTAGGGCTCCTTTTCCTCTATGATTAAGCTTGGTACATGTCGCGCCGCGTTGCAGAAAATAGATAGAATTTTCTAGATAACGTTATAAAAAGCGTGATTCACGCAAATTGTGCTCGTCAATTCTAGAACAACTAAATCATTTTTTTATTGTCAATTGTGGGAAAGTAAGAATGGGTTTGAAAGCATTACATTTGTTGCCACCTTGCCGCATTTAATGTTACATGGTTGGAACAAGAAGAAGAAGAACTGGATCGCATTTCAGGGGGTTGCTTTTCACTGGAAGCACTGAGCCTTCATTTGCCGCTTTTTTCGGTAGGCAAAACCTCGGGCAAAACTACGTTGCGAAGCTAGCCGTCAGCTGCAGAAAGTTGGGTCGAAAAACAAAAAAGTAAGCTAAAATCTGTTGGAGTCATTGAAGAACTCCCATCCAACGGACCGCTTTCCCGAAGTAGGATATTTGTGAAAATGGATTTCGAGCGTAATCACCACCAAGGTCATTAGCATCCTGGAGGATTTGGAAACACAGCGGCTATAGTAGAGTAAGGTAAAGTCGAGGGGGACGACTCTATCTACGATGCAGAAAAGATTGCGTTTTGCTGTGGCTAGCTGCGCGCACACTGAGTAGATAGAAAGAAGATTGATGACGATTCTGAAGATTTCCTGTAAAAGATGATGCGCGATGCAAGTGTTCCGGTAAAACTGATGGAATGAACTCACCGTATCAGCCGAAACAATGGATCTCCTGTGGCTGTTCCGCTGGGGAAAATGAGCAAGTTAACAATAACCTCCATCCTTGGAAAGGCATCATGAAGGCTCCGTTTCTCACAGTGTCTCCCTTATCACCACCTGCATGTCGATCGTCGTCATCTTAAAACTCGGCAACGATCTATGGTGATTGCATAAAATGTTTGTTTTTGATTGTTAATTGAAATGGTAAATATACATAATTACTGAAAATGAAAAAAGAAACATGAGTGGGTACTTTGTCTTCAATCATGAGAACTATTTGTTTGAAAATAATTCCAATTTGAGGTAAAAATTGTATATTCTTGCTTTGAAACCAGCATCTTTTGGTAGGCAACAATTCATACGTCAGTTTTAAAACCTTGGTTTTTATATTGACAGTTCTACAATTTGATTTCAATTTGTAATTTTTAAAATAAACAAGAAGGGAAACTTTTGATTTTCGCCCCTCCTTAGCTCGAAACCTGGTTACGCCCTTATGATATGTATGTGTCGGACACATACTTAATATGTGCACACATAAAAGCCATGTGCAACCACACATACTATTCATTTACTCATCAATTTCATGTGTGCATCTGAGTGGATTCTGTTTATGTGTGGTCACATAAAAATCATGTGGAATTTCACATGGAAATTCGTCAAGAATCATGTGTGGAATTGTATTAGTGTAGTGTTGCCATGTGGTATACTGAAAAAAAAATAGAAATACTCAGAGGGAGAGATGGGCGGAGAGAATGTTTTGAGCCAAATGAGCTGCCAAAATTTGAGCCAATTGAACATTCTTATTAGAATTTGTCCGATGATTTCTTATTCTTACTAGATTAAATATAAGAGTATTGCAATCGAACAGAAATTCAATCACCTTTATGTTTCGTGTGCTTCTCAAATTCAACTAGTTTTTGGAATCAAAAACAATATTCGAACTCTTAGTTGGTTAATTAATGGCACCAAGAAATGTGCAAAATATTGCGATGCAATCAATTACTAATTTGCACGTAAATCGAATCAAAAATAAAAGTCATGTGAAATGCTGGCTTCTAGCAAAGTTTGCAAGATAATTTAGATACAAATCCCTGCTGCTGAATTGTATTTTGTTTTCTCCGCCTATCTCTCCCTCTGAGTATTTCTAGAAAAAATGCAATAGCAGGTTCGTCACTAAAGTTTTCGTGCCGCTCCGTCTGTCACTTCGTTTGTGACTTTTACTGATCATGATCCAGCAATTGGCAAATAAAAGTTGGCACTCGTGAAGAATAGAAGAACTATGAAAGTGATGATGGTTTCAATATTTTACACGGTGAGGTATATGAGTACAATCTTAAAATGCTTCTGTTTTGCAAATGGAGCATTTTATTTAAATCTGGTTAATGCTACGTTAGTAGAAAACTTAAGGACTACTCAATAGACGTATAATATAGAAAAAAATCTTTTCAGATTTTTAAGTGCATACATAGATTTCAGCTCTTCTACCACTATAGCAGAAACCAGATTTAAATAAAATGCTCCATTTGAAAAATAAAAGCATTGTAAGATTGCATTCGTATACCTTGACGTGGAAAATTTTGAAACCATCATCACTTTCATAGTTCTTCTATTCTACACAAGTGCCAACTTTGTTTTGCCAATCGGTTTTACGGAATTTGGCGATCTAACGATAGCGCTCGTAGCGAATAGGAGAAATAGTCTTAAAATTTTGCACTTTGAGGTATAGGAAAGAAATCTTGAAAAGCATTTATTGTCCGAAAAAAAAATATTTGTTATTTCCGGAGTGATTTGAGATTTGGGCGTAATTGCTTTTGTAAACAAAGACGTCGATTTCTCTTGAATTAAAGCTCAATCTCATAAACCAACTATACCAAATGATAGAGGAATCATTCCTCTATCTCAAAGCGTTATTAGTTTACGAAATTGAGCTTTTATTCACGAGAAATCGGTGATTGACGTGTTTGTTTACAAATGCAATTACGCCCAAATCTCAAATCACTCCGGATTTTTTTTAAAAGCTGCTACGGGGGAAGAAACCTCAAAAGGTATCCGATAGACGTATAATTTTAAAACTTTATGTTTTTTCTTAGTTTTTGTTTAGATCTTTAGATCTGAACTTTTCTAACCTTGTATGCATATCCAAATTTATAGAAAATACTTTATTCGTTAAATAAAAGCGTTTTAAAATATTCTCCCATGCCTCGCCGTGCAAAATTATGATACTATCATCAGTTTTCTAGTTCTCCTATTTGCCACAAGTGGCGCTATCGTTAGATTGCCAATTGACCACTTTGTCAAGCAGTTTTGGCGTGACTTTCTACCAGCGATTTCACAAAACTGGACCAACTAATTTCTATTTTTTTTATGAAACGCACAAATGTTGGCTACTTTTCTCGAGGTTCTAGAAGAAAAAATCTCAAAATAATGTTTTATTTCAAAGTTCAAGTGGTAGTAAACGTCAGTTTAGCTGCTCGAATGAAGTGGTTAATTATTAATCATATTGTCGAGCAGTTTTGGGACGACCTTCTACCAGCGATTTTACGGAAATGAAACAATAAATTCCAGGTATTTCAAGCATATTACAAATTTGACCCTATTTTCTCGAGGTTGTAAAAGAAAAAGTATCAAAACATTGTTCCACGTTAAAGTTCGAGTGGTAGGAAACGTCATTTTAAACTGCTCAAATGATGTGATCCATTGAAATCTCATATTTGGTGTGATGTTCATCCTTGAAATCAATTTATTTCATTCCCCAAACGCATGTCGCATGACTTCACGGACGACCCCTTGCCACGTGCGCTTTGCCGTTTCTGCTCCATGGGTCCGCACGCATTCGCGCCTTCAAGCGCCGCGGTGTGAAATTGCGCCATCTGACGCGTGACGCTCGCGCTCCGAATCGAAAACATTCGAAAGACTGTTTTTATTCGTTTCGCGAACTGTCAACAAAATATGCGCCTCCTTCGCATCATCATCAGAGCAGCAGCAGTCGAACCGTGTTCGAAAAATACATGCAAGAAGGTGCTCGAAGACGCAGATAGTGGAAGTGGACACGGGGAGAAGAACGAGATTCGCTGTGAATATCGACGAGGGGGAGTAGCGAGCGAGTATTCCTTCAAATACACATCGCATCGCGAAGCAGCAGCAGCAGCCAGCCGCGAGAAAAAGACCCGCCGAACTGGACTCGAGTTGTAGCTCTGGCATCGTTTGACGGACATTTTTGCATAAAAAGTGCAATCTTCGGAACGGTCTAGCCGGCGCGGTAGTGAACCTATCGAAATCGGAACAGTGCCCGGTGGTAGTGCGGAATTTTCGCTTTCAGTGGACGTTGGAAGTGTAGAAATCGGTCCCGGTTCAGCGGTGGAAAAGCCCGTTGGAAAATCGGTACTACACGGGGTGCGCTTTTTGCGGATCGCCATTTTGAACATTCGGTTTTGTGTGTGCTCTCGGTTTTGAAATTACTGTGGTGCGGTTTGGGAAAAGTTATCTGATTATTCGGTCGGATTTTCCCTCCGGGTCGGGTCGACACTAGGAGCGAGGGTTTTCCCCTTTCCCAGCAGGGGGTGGTCGTTTGCCAGGGTCCGCCAGGATGGCCCACCAGAACAAACCGGTCAGCATCGTGATACAGGATCCCAATGGTAAGTGCGACGTCTTCTTGTTTCTCCGCCAAATTCGGGGGGAATTTGTATGGGATTTTCGTTCGATTTTGGCTAGTTTGAAAAAATGGTCATTTGTGGGTCCTGTGGTGGGGATTCATTGGAGAAATTTTCACTTCAATAGCGCCAGTCTGAGGTGGGAAAAAGTGGCCTTGACCGTGCCATCGTCGACGACGACGTCTTCGTTTCGAGGAAAAATTGACGTTCTGTTTTTTCGATGGGTCGGGTGTTTTTTTGAGAGGAACAACAATTTCGTAATTTGTCTTGCGTTTTATCGTATGCTTTCGTATTCAACTTCTTATGGCTGTTCGATTCACGATTTGCCACGATATCACACACGACGGAGTCGGGAAAGAGCGCTGATAAGCCAAAGCAAGAAGGATGCAATAATAATTGTTTTCGAACGGGTCCGGACTGGACGCGAGGAAGTGCGAGTAGTAGGAGTAGTATAAGCTCGGCCGCCGCTCTTTTGCTGACTCCGGCGAATAGGAGCGCAAAATGAAGCATAGGAAATGATATGCCTATGCCTTTTGCTAAATTTGTTGGTGGGTCATTGTTTTACCTTTTACGTGCTAATTATTTGGGTTTGTTTCTTTAGGTGTTATTGGTTGATCGTTTGGAGATCAATCAGAACACTAAAATATGTGCTTATTTTATTGTTTTATTGAATTTATTTTAAATTATTTTGAATAACTATCAACTAGGTAAAATTTAATGAGAATTCTAACAGAATTTCCAACAACGGTGCTTATCTTTTGAGAAATTCTGAAGAATTAAAACAAAATTAAATTTTAAATTTAATGCAAAACCCAACCAAGGCACTAAGAAAGAAGTATGTGCCAATTTTGAACAATAAATTTACTATTAGGGAAGATGCATAAATGACGTAGCATTTTAGGGTGACCAGCCATGTAGGGGAAGGGAGTCCAACGTTGGTGCTTCATCAAACGTAAAACAATGTTTAACCTATAATGAAGCACCAACCCAACTTTGGACCCCCTTCCCCTTGTAGCGTATTTTTCTCCATGGCTGGACACCCTAAAATGCTACGTCATTTATGCATCTTACCTTATCTCAAAGAAATCGCAACATCAAAAAATCTATCGCAAGATTTGTATCTTTTTGAGAGGTCTTTTGGCAAAAATCCATTAACATGGTGTCGACTACCTGTAAAATCCGGGAATTCATTGTTGGACCTGGGAAATCAGGGAATCTCAGAGAATTTCATTATTTTTTTTTCTTTAGGAGATTTTCAGCCATAGGCTGGTTCATCTCCGAAAGCCCCTGAAGGGGACTCCCTTAGTAACGTAGTTTAGATTTTTTCGGTGAACCCTGAGGGGATTCTCCTGGGTATAGGTGTGCTTAGGGTTTTATGGTACATAGTGGTTTTTACAGAGTTTGTTAACGTTTGTGTTTCGTGGTTGTTCAGCGTGATTGGCGGTTCATAAAAGGGATGGCAGTGGTCGTAAAGGGTAATCAGATAATCGTTGTGTGGTATCCAGTCTAAAGTCAATCGGGGTATAGGGGGTCGGTGATTTAATTTTATCGAACAATCCAGCATCTTTAAGAAAGGTTATTAGAGCAGCTTCGGTGGATGGGTCGTTAGACAGGGCATTGCGTATGTTGTTCGGGATTCCGTTGTGGACCCGGTTGTTCTGGAAGCAGGGGCAGATGACGATCAGATGTTCGACAGTCATTATAGTGTTGCAGGTGTCGCACCACTTCTGAAAAGATGTAGCGCTGCCCATATTATGGGTTACTCAGGTGTGTCCAGATTGGAGCCGAGATAGGACCTGTTGTTCCCGTCGACTCGTAGTGTCCTTCCATTTGAAGATGTCGTCCTTTATTTTCCTTAATAAAGGTCCCCTTTTTGTAACCCACTCTTGGTACCAGCCGTCTCGAAGGGTTGTTTTCACCCATGTTTTTATGTCTGAAATGGGAACAGATGTGGTAGTCATCCGGCCGGTGCGCCCAGTGGCGGCGAGATGGTCCGCTTCGCAGTTACCGCGTATACCACTATGGCCAGGTACCCAGACAAATGAGGTGTTCGGTGGTGCGGTCTTTTGTATGCCTTGAATCCAGGGATGTTTTGATGTTGCTGAATTCAAGGCACATAAAACGCTGGCAGAATATGTTAGAACGCAAATGGGCTTATCGGAGGGCGTAGTGATGGCTAAGTAGATGGCTGCGGCCTCCGCCGAGTAGACAGAGCATTGATCGGGAAGTCGAAAGAATAAACTGTTGAACGTATCCGCTACTCCGTATCCTACTTTTCCCGCAGCCTTGGAGCCGTCCGTGAAGCGGTGTTGAAACTTGGCATACTTAGTTCTGAGTAGCTCCGCTAGGTGGCTGTGCATAGCGTGAGAGTTGTTCCACCTGCCTTAAAGTGCTTGGCAATCGAAAGGTCAACGTGTAGGGTTGGTTCTGTCCATCCTCTGGGTCCGATCCAGTGTAAGCTGGACACAGGTGGGAGCTCCTGATGGACCAGGCTTCCTAGGGCTCTATTCCCCTCTCTGAGGAGAAAGACCTCGTGGTTCCCACTGGTCTTTTCTAGGTAACTGGATGTTCTGCAGCTCAGCGTTTCGGCGATTTGATATTGGAACGGCAGTACACCAAGTTCAACGCATGCCGATTCAGCGGGTGTAGAGGGCAGAAGACCTGCGACGATCCTGATGGCCTGGACGCGTGGTTAGAGAGTCTTTGGAGAGGCAGGTTAGTTCAATAGTCTACTGTTTACGGTGGCCTCCCAAGTAACAATTTTGGTTGTATGCGGGTTCTGTAGACCATGATTTAGACTTGTAGAATGCTATAAAACCTCTATGAAGCTTGCAATGTTACTTGGGCTTGGCTACCTTTAGTAGGATCTCTCTGTTGCTGCTGTGGTGTGGTTTTGAGAGTGTTCGCAGGAGGTTTAGTCGCGTACGGCAATTGGCTTTAGTGTCAGTAAAGTGTGCGTTGAACCTCAGCTCTCGGTCCAGGCGCACTCCGAGAACCTGGATTTTGTTGGGTATCGGAATGTTGTTCGCTGAGATGTTCGTTGGTAGCTGCCGATGGCGGGAGTGGCAGTATTTCATTGAAATTCAGCGAGATCCTCCAACCTGAGATCCTGAAGGTTTATAAAAATCATTTTCCACAAAGGCTAGACGTTGTTAGATGTTGTAAAATTGAACCTCTTCAAGGGGTTTGTGCGTCTTTTAATAGATATTACCCCTAATTGCGGCTGACAAAATTTAACCTTCGAGTAGATTGGTGCGTCTGCTCGATCCAGCCATGTTCAACACAAATTAAACCTCATGAGCGCCTTTGAGTAAATGCAATAATAGTAAAGAGTTAAGAGAAGATGATGATTTTTTTTTACTAAATACTTCATGTACCTTATTGTGTTCTTAACAGCCTGATTTATGGCGTCCCAGAAAGTATAAGCACAGTTTATGATTGTAATAAAGCAACGTTATGTTAATGAACTCAATTTTTTATTTCATATATCTCGCGTAACACTTCAAAAGAGCCTATCCTTGTTGATCGATTCTCTTCATCGACTTTCTCTTTGGTTTACCACGGCTACATAAACGAAGTTCTCGTTAAAACGCTATCCAGACTGGAGAGTTATAACATGTTATAACGGTTGCCAATTAATTGCAACACAGAAACCACCATCAAGATAGAGCTATAACATGTTATAACTCTGTAGTCTGAACGTACTATAAGCTCGCAGCACAGTTCGACAGTAGATGATGTTAGCTTGCGCCTGAAACAACACACTCAATGGAAAATTCATTTCGACAGTGAGCATGCATAAGGGCGTATACGCGATGATCGATTTTCTCTTTGCATTGCTACAGCTAAGCTAAACAATTTTCTAGAATTTGTTCAATGCAGAGTTGTAACAGGTTGTATCAAAAGCAACAGCAAACTCACCAAGAAACGTTAAATCTAGCGAGTTATTAACGAAAGAGAAAATCATCATCGCGTTTACGCCCTTATGCATGCTCACTGTCGATTTACAGTCGCGCATTCATCAAAGAGAAAATCAATGAAGAGAATCGATCAACAATGATAAGCCCTTTTTTTCGTGCTGCGCGAGATATATCGACAGTGATCATGCATAAGGGCGTAAACGCGATGAACGATTCTCTTCGTCGATTTTGTCTTTTGTTAATAACAGTGATGCAAAATATCATGACACTCACGTGACACTCGTCTTCGCATCAACCGACTATCGCTGACAGATCGTTTTGTCCCGCAGTGAGAGTTAGAGCCATGACAAACAACAATCACCAGTAATGGTCGCTGCTCACAAGCAAAACGTTACACTCACTGCTGATGATGAAAAGCACAACGAAAACAGTGAAGACTTCTGCAGTACGATCATGAGAAAAGGCGAAACGACAGAAGAAAATGAAAGCAATGCCTACGCATTCCAAGTTCGTCTCGGCAGGCGCGACTGTGTGAGTTACAAACAAAGCAGGCAACATTAAACGGAAGCTGTTGGGCTCACTCACCAACACACTCACATAAGCAAGCAAATCAGCAACTGCTTCAAAACGAGCACAGATGAGTATCGTGATTGTCGGGAATGACCAGATCGGTGATGGATCACAACAGAAGACGACATGCATCAGTTGCTTTTTACTTCTTTCGTCAACTTGATGGATGGTCATGGAGAGAGCTTCGACGAGCACATTGATAGGAATGTACAAAGCGTTACTACCATCAGCTGTTTGGCGATCATGATTGTGATAGGTCGCAACTCTGGTTAATAACTCGCTTGTAATAACATTTCTCGGTGCGATTGTTGTTGCTTTTGATGTTACAGTAATGTATTGAATACATTTCAGAAAATTGTTTCCCTTAGATGTAGCAATTTAATGAGAAGATCGATGAAGAGAATCGATCTTCGCTGTTATGCCCTTATGCATGCTCACTGTCGATATGTTCTATATAGTTTTCTTTTTCAATTGGATGAAAATAATCCACAGTTT